CCCCAGGAGGGATGGCCACGCTGCAATCCCTTCTCCTCCATTCTCCTCTCGGGATCTTGGGCATGCACACACACGTGCCCGGCGTGAGTTTAAGCCACCGGCTCCGGGAATCAAACTGCCTTCGGCCACATGGGAGTCCAGTGATATAGCCAATAAGCTCACTGCTGGTCCTTTTCTTATTTTTTAAAGACAGTTTTGCTATAGCATGTGAGCACTGGCCTGAGAGACAGAGACAGAAAGCGAGAAGTCACCCCGTACTTGGTGCTGCAATCCCTTCCCCTCCATCCTTTTCTTGGGATGTTGGGCACCCACGCACACTGCGAAGGAGTTTTAATAAAGCCACTGTCCAGGACTCAAAGCGCAGTCAACTACGTGAAAGTCCAGCGACCTAACCATTACGCCATCTGCTGATCCCTATCTTCTAGTTTCTTAATTAATTTATTTTTAGTCAAGTGTTCCCTGTTATGTTATCCAAAGGAGGAAAAAAGACTGAGGAAGCTTAAAAACAGAAAAAGTAGTTAATGAGGGGCGACGCCAGGTTGTCCTGACACATAAAGCGGCCTAGAAGGAGAGTCTCTTCCCAAATCCTTACTTCCCATAAATCTGCCCAACAACGTGGGAACCAAGGCTGAGGGACACGCTGTGATTGGTCCCACTAGTTCTTCCTAATTGGTTAAACATCCCCACCTATCAATCATACCTCCAAAGCATCCACTCATTCACCATCCTGTTTTCCCGCTCTTATAGACAGTTGGCTCTGTCAGCGCCCCACCCTCAATCACTCACTGTCCGGCTTCAACAGAATTTAGGCCCTTTCTCGTCTAAATGACAGTAACTGCTATTTCCGCTATTGGCGGGTCCAACACTGTTCCCCACGCTCTCATTCTCATCAAAATATACTGCCGTGGCCTTCTTCCTTCACTTTGAGAGTAAGCCGGGATCAGTTAGGTAGTCCAAAATCATTGCCTAGGGCTGCTCTAAAAAGTGTTGGCCTAATGGTCACATCTTCTTGCTAGTTGTAAAACTCCGACTAACCTGTGTCTGAAGCCTTCCTCCAGCCCTGCCAGTCGACTAAATCACTCACTTCAGCGGGGCCGCCAACACCAGTGACCTCTCCACAAACTCCCTCCCGGGCACTGCGCAGGAGGAAGGACGCTCTCGGAAGGCGCCTCCCTCTGTGGTGACGTCATCAACGGTCACTCCCAATTGGCCTTTACCGCGACCACAGAAGCCAGATTGTACGTGGTCCTAGGAACGCAGTTCGGAGAATCGCTTGAGTGACGTCAGGGTGAGAATCACTAGAGCCAGCAGTACAATGTAATACTGGAAGCGGACCACTATTGAGAGAAGAATGAACATGGCCAGGATTACAGAAGAGAGCAGGGCTTCGCAGAAGAAAAGTGAAAGAAAATAGATAATGTTCCTCGCTGGTTATTCAAGTGTGGTGAAAGTCAGAAATATCCAAAATTGAGGACACTAGAAAACCTTTTCGTTCTAAGACATGTTTCTGCTGCCCTGCCCTTGTCAAATCTGAAGGAAACTACCTTATGATTCCCCTGCAGATTCACAGCAAGCTCATGTGTTCCACTCATTTCCAAACAAATGGTTTTAGGAATAAGGTAGAACTATATAGATAAATATGTTTGATTTCAGTCAAATTTAAATTAACTTTATGTACAATGCTTACAACTAAGGAATTGGCCTCTGCTGAAATCTCCATTCAGAGACAACTGCTAAGGCAGATACCCCTAGACTTGAAATATGAAATCAAAACATTAACAAGCCTCCCACTTCTTTCTTCATGAACTCCTCATTTAAGCCTTGTGCACCTCATTCATGCCAGATATGGAGCTAGCTAACAGGATGAAGAGATACAGTGGGTGCCATTCTGGTAACATCAAGAGTTCCCTTCTGACCCCAAGAGTCTCAGGAAGATCATTAGAATTAGTCAATAGATTTAATGAAAAACCTGGGATTTCTAAACATAATTTTCCCCTCTAAATTTTTCTGCATCTAGATCAGACAGTACAATGAAGGAAAGAGAAAACAGAGAAAGTACAGCTATTAACTCCTCTTCTTTCAAGTCCTGCAATTTGGTATGTCTTCTTTTTTTTTTTTTTAATTTGCCAGAGGGCACCTAGATTCTCTAAAGACAGAGAGGGAAAACAAGAAAGCACCCTCTTCATGGAGCATAGTCATACCCCAATCCCTTCCCTATTTCTCCCTCCTTTCAGGATTTTGGGCACACACACACACACACACACACACACACACACACACACAAATCTTGCGTATTTTTCAACCATCAGGTCTTGGACTCAAACCCCACAGTAGGACACGTGGAATCTAGCTATCTTAACCACCAGGTCACAGGCTGTCCCAGTATGTCTGCATTTTTTAATCCTAGATTGCTAAATTAGAGAAAGAAATCTGGTGAAAAAGACAGCAGATTATCCTATCCCATAGTTGAATGAATCTTCATGTGCCACATATTGTATGATCTTATACTAGCTTTTAGAATCTTAGGACATCAATTTCCTCATCTGTAAAATGGGAATAAAAGTAGATCTGGGCTGGGGGCCAACAGATGGCATGGTGGTTAAGGTGCTGCCTTCAACATAGCTGACTCGATGGTTCAAGTCCCAGACCCGGCAACTTGAAAAACACACTGAGCATGTGTGCATGCATGCCCCAAATCCTGAGAGGGGAATGAAAAAGGTATTGTGGCATGACCATCTTCCCTGGGGGTTGATTTCTTACTTTCCCCCTCTCTCTGTCTCTCTCTAGAGAGTGCATGCATGCACTCTACAGCAAAAACCTAAAAGAAAAAAAATATTTGTTCAAGGCTTCTGGTTCAATAAAATAATGTACATAAAGCATCTAGAACAGTGGGTGGCCAGCAGGCACTTAACAAATATTAGTTCTCATTACCATTCCCCATTTCCTAGTTAGCAAACTAAGAGATTTCTGACTTCTACCATCCTACCCAGGCTCTTGGCTCTACCACAACTTCTTTGTTCACGGACAAACAGAGAATCAAACAAGACGATAATTAGACCTCAGCCCTCAAGCCTACAGGGGCCCTTTGTTTGTTTGTTTGTTTTTTGTGGAGAGGTTTTTGCTATAGGGCGCATGCGCTCACCAGACAGACAGAGAGAGACATAGAGACAGAAAACAAGAAATCACCCCCCAGGTAGGATGGTCACGCTGCAATCCCTTCTCCTCCATTCTCCTCTCAGGATCTTGGGCACGCACGC